GACCTCCCGCCAACCGGGCATCCTCTAATGCGCGTAACGGTATCTCCGAGGTGTTCCGTCGTGATCGCGTTTCTCGCTAAATCCAGCGTGGCCGTTTGTCGGCATGTCTCTGCCACAATCCTCGCACATTGTGCGTATTCTTCGACGCACCGCACCTTCGACGTTGTACTTTAAGAGGAACGCGAGTGTCACGTTTGTTATTTCGTTGTAAAAGAAAAAAAGAGTGACGCTACTGGGTGATTTGTAAAATTCACTTTTAAGGGGGATGCTGGAGTGACTCTCCACCTTTTGCGTCTTTTGCACCTGGAACTGTCAATTCGTGAAAACGTTCGTGTAGTATACAAATTTCTGTACAGACCGACTAGTTTCCACTTGATTTCAATGATACCGTGCTGTTCTCTAATTTAATCCGAGTAGTGGAAACTAGTCGGTTTGTACACAAACGCTACATGTTTTGTATATTATACAAATGTTTTCACGAATTGACAGTTCTAAGTGCAAAATGTGCAGAATCACTCCAGCATCCCCTCAACGTGAGACCTGCGGGCGAGAACGAAATCTGTGGATTTGTATTTGATATAATTAACAGCATATTAATATTGAATTTTGGAATAATACAAAACGAAACGCTAACCGCGATCTAATTAAATCATTCTTTCGTCATTGTTATACGCGTAATTCTCAGCATTATTAAAAATTATGATATATGTATAATAACGCGTTAAAATGTAAATTCATTGTACAATGGTCGCTAGCCAGACAGGTTTAATGTCCGAGAACTTCCGCCGAAGCGAATAAATCATACGACAGCAATATCGAGTGCATATAATAAATTCGATTATGCGGTATAATATACAGTTAGAAAAATATTGTCATCCTGTTTCTCTGTAGGACGGATCATTTTACATAACAAAGTACCCCGAAATCGCGATACCTCATGAATATGCATCGCCTTTTATTTAATAACCTTGCACGAATCGTCTTGTTTCTTCGCGAGTTAGCTCTTCCTCTCGCTCTCTCCCTCCAAATTATATGTTATATATAATGATAGCTATTACCGCGCCCGCTTCGCGCCCATTTTATGTAATTGCGTGTGGTGTGTGTGTGGGCTATATTGCAGAATAAGAATATAGTCAATCACCATATTAACATATTGTTCGTAGAGTAAAAGAAAAATAATCGCGATATTAACGAAAATACGAGCCGATCTTGATTTATGATAGCGACTGATGTTAGTTATATGTTGCACGTCGATTGCCGTGTTACACACCTCTAATTTCATACATTTTAGGGTTGTTCCAACCTCTTGGTAAGTTAACTAATAATAATTAAATTGTATGTATGTCTTTGTTTTTCAATTTAATAAAATTCGTGTGGCTCAAATGTGATAAACACAAATTTGAAGGAATAAAGGACTAAGAGCCGTGACAGGGTGTCTAAATATTTTATTCTAAATTTATTGCGAAAAAATATCACCCCAGCCAGGGTCTTTGTTTCTTCTTTAAATTAAAAAAAGACAGACATACAATTGAACTACTAGTTAGCTCACCGAAAGGTGGGACAAACCGGCCCTCCCTCCATTAAACGTGCATCGATTTTTATTTGCCCCGTTTCATCTGAAAATTTCGTAGTGCATCACGTAAGCGTGAAACACCTGAGCAGAACGTGAGAAAAGCTGCCATCTTATACGCACTAAGTGTTACATAGCACAAGGTCAGGAGCGCGTAACTTTTTAATAAAACTCCGCCGCCGCGCGCGCGCGCCATCAGAAATACTGTTCAGTTTACAACGCGTTTAGTTTACGACTGTTTTACGAGGTGCGGACGACCGACACGAGCCACGAGTTCCATAACTGTCAAATCCAAGTGCCATTTATGGCTCAATCTTTAGGGATACGGCTGCCAGCAACGACGTCGTTTATTTTATCCGGCCGTTTTATCTACATCAACCGGTGATACGCATAATAAACAGATCGCTCAGCACTTTTTTTCGTTGACTTCCCTTACAACACCGTCTTATAACGAACACGACAATGGGCATCAGTATTTGTCAGTTTTTTTCTTCCTCGATTGATTGTACAACATTTATTATTTGTTTCGACATTTATTCCTCTTGCTCTTAGGCCCGAGAGACAGACGAGCCTGATAAATGCTGCTCGGTTTCTTCCGGGACCAGCCGGTTGACAGAGCAATCGGCACCGTTGTCTCTCGATTACGTCAAGACAGTAGATAAAAGATCGTGGGACAAAGAACTCCTATCCAGAGGCCATTTTGCTAACTAGAGGCCATCGTAGTTATATGACGTCACTTCCATATCCAACCATGGCGTCACATGACGCTCCACCCTGTTTTCAATCACCTTGGCCCCGAACCCACCCAGCTGTCAGACATGCTCCACCCCGTTTTTTCCTCTTCTTCCGTGCTATCGCTATCGCCATCTGCCGACAATATTATGCACTTCTTAGACTCGTAAATAATCAGTTGGTTTATGATCTCTCCGATCGATGTCACCACTAAATGAGGCCTAAAATACTTATCTGGTACATGCATCTTGGCACGATCAACATGTCGCGCCTCATTAAAAGGAAGAATAACTGTTCTACAAATGACACGTTACATCTCCTTTCCTTTTCTCTTATTCTAAATTTGAAACAATCTGGCAGCACTTTGAGATCCGCTAGAATATTCGTAGAGTAACTTGAGAAATCGACTGCAACGATAACTGATTCTCCACACCTCGCTGCTATTAAATTAAAGAGGTGCGAAGGGGAGGGGGGCAGAGGGTGCGAAGCTGCGAAAAATACGCCGTCCACGTCAATAGGATTCAGATACTTGCACTTCAGAGGAGGATACATAAAGGGGAATTTACGGGGCGGGAATTGAGTTCAAATCCTGCGAGAGGTTGAATTTATACGCGAGGGACGCGGAGGGAGAGGCGCCGGGGAAGGGGGTGGCGAGCGCGTGGAATCGCTATCGGCGGCCATTCATCAATCCGTGGAATCAATACGCTGGAATTAATGAAAGCGCCGCGCGAACAGCAAGCTAGCGGCCGGAATGTTAATCGCGATCGTCCCGCGTCCGACCCGTTCTCATGTACAGCAAACTCCCAAGGGCCGCACCTCTCACCCTCTCTCGCACCCTTTACCCTGCTACGCTGCCCGTTGCACATTCGAACGCGCTCCTAACTCCGTGTTTAGCGCCACCCATACTGCCATGCCACCCGCAACAATACCATATGTACATTCACATGGATATTTTCATTTATTTCTTCGCGAATGGGAGACGATTTTTTCGCGGTGTAAAAGCCAAATGTATTAAACGTGTTAAAAGGCCATGTTTTTTTTATTAATCATTCATTAGTACTTTAAACTTTATCTTGCTTTAAAGAATTAACGAAGTTCCTGCTTTAAAGAAGTGATAGGTAACATTTTATAGAAACTCTTTTTGACTAGAAAAACTTCAATTAGTTCTCTATTTTTACTTTTAGTTAATATTGAAATTTCAAAAAGTTAAGAAACTAAACTAGAAAATTGTTGACATTGAAGTAACTTTTACAATGTGGAAATTGTACGACGTTAGGATATCGGGTATGGTCGGTATAGAAGGTTTCGATCTTGAATCTTCAGATCAACATGTTCTCGTAAAAGGCAAAAACCCTTCGCATTTCAGTCGATAAGAAAGCAATGTACGTGTTCTTGTTGTGTTAATAATGGTGGCGTCCCTGATTCTTCGAATTAAAATAAGAAAATATATTGGGTTTATGTTTTGCAAAATAATAATCTGATTTTGATTTTTGCAAAGTGTAAGAAATTGATGTGGGTTAAAATTTTTAACTACTCAACATGCAGTACAATAAAGTACGAATAAAAAATAGAATCAGTCGGTCATTATTAATTATTATATTTATTTTTTAATGTCGATATTTTTATTGTAATATTATTAATTAGATATTATTTTGACAATTTTTCTCAAATTCTTATTTTTATCTTAGAATGTATGTAATTTATTTCCATTATTCTCTTTGATAATTCATTATTAACTAAGATCTAATACATTTTATGTAATTTTAAAATAGAGATTAATAGTAAAGTTTTCCTTTTTTAGTACTGATTGTAAGATAGTTTGCGACACATGTAGTAAATTTCTATAAAGTTTATAGAATGTTTAAGTAATTGAATTAAATTTATGTTTATGAACACGAAGCTACATCAAATTATGGAGCTATATGAAACATTTTTTAATATTTAATAATTTTATGATAATGTAATTATATTATAATTGTTCGAATAAAAATATTTAACTCGATTTGTTTAAAAAGTAAACTAAATTTGGTTGCTATTTTTATTTGTTAAATAATGATTTCTTAAATATTTCTGTTGCATGATTAAAGTGACATACATATTGAATTAGATATAAGTGGTCTGCGTACGACTTACTATTTTCACGCGACATACGCATAGAAACCTTCACAAAGCTTCCGAAAAAGAGATTGATGTGAGAAAGAAAGGTTGCGGTGGGAAGTGGCTGCGCTGCCTAATGGGTAGAAATTTTTCCAAATTTAACGATCGCTTAGCCCGCCCACACAGAACGCTGTAATAAGTTTGGCGTCTGTGCGATGGCCGTCACCGTGACGAGCACATGTGTAACTCGCCTTCTGTCATTCACGGGCTAAACTTTGCTCAGTTCATTCAGCTCGCTTGACAAGAATCATGCAAAGTTTCAGTTGTGCCCGCGATGCCTTATATCGAAATATCGTAAGATTTTCAAGTATTTATTCGAAAGTTGTCTCGCTGATTGTAAAATTCATGGCAGTAAAATTCATCAGCTATCATCGATGGTATTTTATTATTTAGTAATTTCTTGGTAATATTGTAAATTTAGTATAATTTGTTATAACTGTTATACTCTACGTTATGACACATGTGAGTCAAGCGTAATTAATGTAACTGTAGTATTGCAATATTGTACGTAATGTAACATGTAATTTTCTTTCTGTTACAGGTGCGGCGTAATTTTGATCATAGGGTGGACAGGGGAACGAAACGGGTCTGGAGTGGCTTGGCACTTTGAACGAAGGTGTCACACCGGGGAAGACGAAGGACTTTGATTACTATCTTCCGCTACCACCTTGTGTATACGTGGTATACTCACCCCTTTCTCCACTTGCTAATTAAAAAGGTTCTGCAGTGCTCCAGTTTATGATTTTATTCACTTTTGGTAGTGAGCTCAGTGTGATAAAAAGTCAAATGATGTACATGTGATCCAAAATGATGGTAATTTGATATATAAATATATATATGTGTGTGTGCTTGTGCTGCTCAAGAGTGCGTGAGATGACAAAGGTCGAGTGAGAAAAAATAGAGAAAGAGATTCGCGAGGAGAAATGCAATTCCGAAGTGATAAATCTGTATCTATGTAAAGACGTGCCAGTGTGTCCGCACAGGAAGAGTACAAAACAAAATAAATTTATGAAGATAAAAGGATAGAGAGAAGAATCATAGATCAGCTGAAGATAACCAAAGGAAAGTCAGTCAGCAACGTAGAGAAGTGACACAAGCAGGTGGGACAGGTGGGACAGTAGCATGAGTTCGTACTTCGCGAATTCGTATATCCCGGACCTGCGAAATGGCGGGGTGGAACACTCGCATCAGCATCAGCAGCACTACGGTGCGGCCGTACAGGTACCTCAGCAGACACAATCGGTCCAGCAACAATCTCAGCAAACCGCCGAGCCCTGCGACCCGAGTTTGTTACGTCAAGGAGGAGTATCCGCCCATCATTATGGAACCACGGGAGGTCAGCAAGATATGCCTTATCCGAGGTTTCCCCCGTACAATCGGATCGACATGCGGAACGCGGCCTACTATCAGCATCAACAAGAACACGGAAGCATGGACGGCATGGCCGGTTATAGGTCGACGTCTCCGAACGCCGGTATGGGTCACATGGGACACACACCTACCCCCAACGGACATCCGTCCACCCCCATCGTCTATGCCAGTTGCAAACTTCAGGCGGCTGCCGTCGATCATCAAGGCGTTCTCGACGGACCGGATAGTCCGCCTCTCGTCGAGTCGCAGATGCACCATCAAATGCACAGCCAGCATCCGCATATGCAGACGCAGCAATCGCAGCATGCGCAGCAGCCGCAGCAGCCGCAGCATCAGCATCTGCAGGCGCAGCAGCAACATATGATGTACCAGCAGCAACAGCAATCGCAAACTGCGTCGCAACAGGGACAAAGTGGAATGCACTCGCAACAGCAGCAGCAAGCTCAGCAGCATCAAGGTGTCGTTGCATCGTCGCTCAGTCAACAACAGCAAGGCGCGCCTCAGGGTACGGCAACTTCGAATTTACCGAGCCCATTGTATCCTTGGATGAGGAGCCAGTTCGGTAAGTCAGACAGTTTTCATTAAATCCATATTATTATGATGCGCCTACTTTTCTTCAAGTCGTCGTCACAACTTATCAGTGAGATACTGTCACGTTAAAGCTAAATATATTATGTGCAGTGATATTTGCTGTGGGAAAAGATAAAACATTTTGTAATATAAATTAAACGCATTGAGTTAACCTTTTTTTTTTAATTCTTTACCTCTTAGAATTTCACGTAATATATTTAGCTTTAACATAACATTAGAATTGATAACAAATTTGTTTTGCACGCGGCACTTGTGCTCATAAATTAAATGGAACAAACGAAACGTGACGCCGCTTTTAAGAATAAAATCAACGTTTTACTCGATGCGTGACTAAAAGTCTCTTAGAAAGTCTCTGCAGTTTCTCAGGTAGTATCTAGCCAACTTTTGTATTTATGCAACGGAGCACAAAACTAAACCAAATCCGTGTGGTGGCCGACTCAGGATTGGCACAATGTCTCCTAGATCCATCGCGCCCAGAGTTATTTATTGCGTTGACCTGTTAGTCTGCGTTAGTTTCGCCGCTCATTCATCAAGTCACAATAAGCGTTATCTCTTGTTCTTTTGTCGTATAATTTAGCCGCTTAAAGTATCAAATCCGTTTATATTCGTTTTTATTAACGTTTAATAACACGTTTCTTAATTTGTCTTATTAATTCAACGAATCATATCCTTTCATACACGTCTTTGAAAAACAAAGTTATTATTTTTAAAAATTTAGAATGGGTTAAATACATATTTATTACATATGTGTCCACCCTGGGTTTTATTTGTGAAATTAAAGAATATGCTCTGACCCAAATTGTGAACGATTTTTCATAAATTTTTCACACTATTCAACACTTTTTGGATGGCACGTCTATTTGTGGCATTGTGTGGCGCAGCCATAAAGGAATAACAGTAAGACTAGACCGTCATTTAGGTAGAAGAAATCTTAGACGCACACAATTGAATAAGTTATGGGACCCTCTTAAGCGTGCCATTTCTCACATTTACCTTTGCGTTTCTTTATTGACCCTTAGCTCGACCCACTCTCGATAAAAGAACGGTATCCCCGTATTACCTAATTCTGGAAGGTAGCATCTGCCTGAAACAAAAATTCTAGCGAACCATTCTTATTTTCACACTCTTCAGTCACTCCTCGTGTCTTCTCGAAGTAGCTTCTCTTCATATCTTTCTTCAAGTGTAGATAGTTCAGTGGAGAGTATAAGTGATGCGATTAAGTTTTTTTGCAAGATAATAAAATCACGTTCTAAAAGTAGAAAACAATCAAAGAGGTATGTGCCAATACGTTTAAATATACTTAAAATATCCTATATTTTCTCCTTTATACTCGTATAAATTATGACTTTTCTGATCTATACATATTTTTGAGGCGTGTTAAGAAAACCGTTTTAATTG